CTTTTTGCGTATCACGAAGAAATCAATATGTATCAGAAAGAGTAATAAAAAATGGGGTGAGTTTTAAGGCATTTTCAGCATACACATTTTTCAAATTTTGACATTTTTGTATAATTTCTCTTAACATTTTATCATTTTTTGTTGCAAGCTACCTTTGTTTCCTTGGGACAGGTACTTTAGTAGGTCTAATGATTCTTCAGCAATAAGGTATGGTAGTTTTTCACCATGAAGTAAACAGTAAATTCGATTGTTCTTTTGATTACTGAGTACCCTCATCCAAAATATAGTAACCTATTAGCAAATAGTATTAGTCTATGCTTTGTTTTATGCCTACTTCTTCAAGTGTAGTAGATTCAGAGCATAAAAAAACTTCATCAAAAGTTGGCAAAGCACTATTTTCACCCTCAGAATAAATTTGTAAAGTACAAATAAATATGTTATCTAACAATTCCAAGAAGTTTGTACAACAACAAGTAATATAAAATACCAGCAGAAGTGATAATTAGGTTAGGCATCCCTTTTTGAAATGACTCCACAAAAACTCTCTTTTTTAGAAATTCTAAGTGGGACATATTATTTATTAATTAAAGTTTATGCTAATTATTATACCTTGTCGAGCAGCAAGTATTTGTAAACATTTTCCTAAAGTTTCTAATGATATGAAATTAGTTTCATCAGCAACATTTGTTGTTCTAGAAATATAGATATCACTCTAAAAATTATTATAGCTTTAATATTACTTTTCAAATAAACTGTTCTCCATCCTTTTGAAAAAATACTTTGCCACATGATTGATATCAATATTATCAAAACATTCTGCTGAAGAATTACACAAGGAATCAGAAGCAGATTCTGTTGCAGGAAGCAAGCTTTTTTTAGTTTCAAGATCATTTACCATCCATTCTTTTTGATATCTATCAATATCATCATCATTTAACTCAACATACCATTCCATCATATCAAAAATGTCATTGACATTTTCATTGAGAAGTGCTTGAAGAATTAAATAATCTGGATAACCTAATGGAACCGATTCTTCATAAAGCTTATTCATAGAATCATAGCTTCGAACTTTAGCCAGAGATTGAGAAACTTTTGAAATCTCTTCAGGCTCAACATTTGTTTCTCCTGATTGGACAGGTGGTGGTGCTGATTCTGTTGTAGTGAATTCTTCTTTAACACTTAAACTTTCATCATCAAGAGAAACATCTTTCAATGCTTTTCTAACAATAAGTTCAGATTCTAAAGGCTTCCCAATTGTACTGTTCAATAAGCGAAGTACTTGAAGGCTAATTTCATGGTTCTCAACTTGATCAACTTTTGTCAATTCTTCCCTTAGAACAATGAGTTGATTGGTTTTGTAATAATTAAGCTCAGGGTAATGGTATCTGCATCTCCAAACATAGCCTATCCATTTGCTAAGAGTTTGCTCAAGCTCTTCTATTTGTTTATCAAGACTCGCTAGATCATTCACAAAATCAGAACATGCAAGTGTCCTTTGCCACACTAAGTACTTCATGTGACCATACTCTTTTAGCTTTTGAACCACATCACAAATTTGACAAACTCTACTTAACATCTATAAAAATTTTGAACAAATTTTAAAAGTACATCATACTTGAAATGTTTTTCAATTAATTACCTCTTGAAATAAATTTTTGGCGTCCACCCATTTTGATGTTTGACGAGTTATCAGAACAAGCTTACTTTCAATCTCATGTAGGTCGTCAAGTGTCCAGGACTTCTTTGAAATATGAGGATCAACTGAATTGATTGTCAGTGACACTGTGCATTCCTGTACATTTTTAGTGGTTGATACTGTATATTTTCCATGTTCATTAAGATCATGGAGTTGCTTTAAAGTTCCTTGTTCTCCAGCTCCTTGCAGCTGTCCAATGAACTGATACCATTTGACATTGGAGACACACGATTCCT